TCTCATTCGGATATTGTTATACCCCCATCTTACGTCTAGTTTCGTGAAGTATCTAGCTCCACTCAATTTGTCTACTAGTTCTCCGATTAACGGAAGCGGATATCTATTTTTGATAGTAATATCGTTTAGCTTCCTATAATCTTGAACCGGTCTTAACTTTCCGTCTTTCTTTTTTATGAAGAAGAAGGGTGATGCAAATGGGGACTTTGATGGTCTTATCCGTCCTGATTTCAGATTTTCCTTTAGGAATGCATCTAGTTCCTCTTGTTCTCCCCTTGCTAATGGGTAGATCTTGCAATCTAGGGAGTGATCTCCCGGTACTAGTTCAATTGCATGATCCCATTGTCTCCTTTCAGGCAAGGTGTCAAATTCCTTTTTATCAAATACGTCTTTGTATTGATGAAGGTGTCTTGGCACTATCTTTTCGAATCCTCCTTCTTTTCGATCTTTGCCTGCGGCTTCCGCTAGTTTCTGTGCCATTGTGCCTTGGGCTCTAATGTGATAGTACTGATCGTTGATCGTGGCATCTTCGAAATTCTGGAGATTTACCTGTATCATCCTCTCGTCTTCTCCCAGTTCTTCGAAGAATATTTCCGGATCCTCCTCTGGATCAGAGATTCGGATTCTCGGTCTGCATTCTTTGGGACATCTTTCAAAGGTTAACTTTGACTCCTTCCAGTCTATTTTTGGATTGTGTTTGTTTAACCACTCATGTCCTAGGAACATTCTCCCGTTACCCAGATTGGTTACGGCGAGATGTATCTTCTTGACGTGACCGTCGATGTCCATGAGTAGTATTACAAATTCATTGATGGCTCCGTTCTTATTAAGAGTTCCATCTGCATTATAAACTGGAATAGGTCTTGGTATCTTCCTTGTCTCGTATCCTTTGTCTTTAACAAATTGGGAGTCGATGCAACTCCCCGTGCATCCACTATCCAATAGTGCTTCGACTGTTTCTGTTTGGAGAGTGTCTAATGTAGTAAGCTTACATTTTACGTTCATTTGATTGCCTTGGGTGCCCCTAATGTACTTTTTAGGGGAGGCAATCTCTATGATTGCTTGTATAGCTTCTATTTTTGGTAACCGGTTGATTTCATTTATCGTTTCCCGGGTTACTTCTCTAGTTCTCTTTTTGTGTGTCCAGGCACTCAGAATCCCAATGGATCTTTCTTCCTTTTGGTCTCTTAGCCTGTCTACTACCCACTCTGGGGTCCAAACTTCTGTTCTAGGTTTTTTTAAAGGGGTTCCTGACCTTTCTTCTACAGTCTCTGCTGCGTTTTCCTCCGTAGAGTTCGCCGCATCGGGTGTAGGAATTTTAGTATCTATTGTAAATGCTGCATTTTTTAATGATTTGCCCGCCGTCGGAACTGCAGATGTCTTATCATTCTGCGCCGCATTTACTTTGGTTGCATCTTTTTCGTTTCTAATTTCTTTCTTTGTCTGGGTGGAAATAATTTTATTGTTATCCGCGCTAAAGCTGCAGCTTAACAATTCTGGTTTGTACGTATCTACAGATAAAGGAAGAAATCAATTTGAAACGTCTCTTTTAGGCTCAGCCGGTTGATGCGGTACCGCTGGCCTCTTTAAATGCCCTCTAGGAGTTTTTCTCTTTCTTCTTTTGTCATCTTCTCTAGGAATTCACGGACATTAAACTGCGGCTTCTTCTTTTGTGCGTCTTTGCACTCGAAGCTTCTATGTCCTTTCTCTCCGCATCGGTAGCATCGTCCCTCAGTGCGGAATTTTGCTTTATCTACCTCCATTCGTTCTCCGTTACCGGTATAAGTATACCCGGTTCCGTCTCTCTTCTTTTCTCCTTCTTTCTTTTGTTCTGAATAAGGTTTCCTTCCGGTTTCGGAACCTTTCTTCTCTTTTTCTCTTTCTCTCCAAATGTAGTCCATTCTGATGAGTTCTTTCTTCCATTCCTGGTAATCTTTAGGAATGTGTCCACCGTAGATCACCCTGTCTACTAGCGGCTTATTCATGTTTCTCCTTAATAGGGAGATTAAGAACTCTTCATTCATTTGGTTCGTATATCCCGCCCATCTTTTCTTTTCTTCAAACCTTTCAAAAAAGGCTTGGGCGGTTTCATTGCCTTGTTTTAAGGTCAATATTTCGTTCTTTGCAGTTTCTTTTTCAAAACTGTCTTTGAATCTCTGTTCCATTTTATTGGCAAAGTACGGCCAACTTCCGTATGTGCGCGTAATGTCGAACCCTAACTGTTGGGCATCGACCCTATTCTCTAGCCAATCAGTCCGAAAGGCCGCGGCTTCTCCTTCTTTCATGAAAGACAGCACGAAGCTGATCTTTTTTCTGTCATCCTCGAAATAAACGGCATCGTCTTCGAAGTGAAGAAGTAAGGATTCTCTAAAGGCCCTGTACTTCTTCTTATCTCCGGAGAAATTCTCTGGTTTTTCTAATGCTGTTCTACTTCTTTCCACCTTTTCCGGAGGTGGCGATGCTTTCTTTTTGAGCCTTCTTTCTAAGACGCTCACTTCTTCGAGTGCCTCGTCGAGTTGGGATTGATATAGAAGCCTCGTTTCTTTGATCGCTTTTTCTACTTCTCGTTTTACGTATGCTTCTAATGATGCTTCTCTCGGCGGGGGAGTTTCTATCCTGGGTAATGAGTCCATCATTTCCCTGGTAAAGGCGCTGTCCATGCTGTTGGATGGCTCGGGCAGATCTCGATATTCTAGGTTCGACATTGAATCTGAGTTGGGGAGGAGGGGGAGTTTCTGATTTGATCACGGGGGATGGGATTCTGATTTGTGTTATCTCTGGTAGAGGAAATTGTCCTCTAAATACGTAATCTCTGGAATAGACACGTTGCTCTCCTATCCAGATATACAATTCTCTACTTAGCATAGAAAGGAATTCCCCAGTGATAAGCTGGATCAATACACCTCTTTCTAAGCTCTAAGTAGTCTATCTTTCTCTTTTAATCAAGGTGGTCCTCTTCTGCCCACCACTGATTGTGTACGTAACTAAGTAATGTGTGTCTAAGAAGGTAGGTAAAAGGTATTTGTAATAAATTGGGGTCCGAATGGTTGTCCCAATGTAACCCGCTTGTTAAGCTGTCAGTTTCCCTCCAACTGGCGGACACAAATGTGCGGCCTGGTTAGAGGTATGCGAAATAGAAACTAGGTAAAAACGAGAGAATCTCCCTGGTTCCACACCAGAGAAATTATAGTGATATAATGTAGCTAGAGGGGGATTGTGACAAAGGAGTCTTGGGAGGAGGAGGGTGATACGTTGGCAGGGAAGAAGGATAGAATGGTATCAGGGCGAGTGGGGATGTGGTGGAGTGGGATAGTGGTAGCGGTTTGGTGAGGGTGTTTGAACAAGGTTAGGATTATGAAGATGATGATGATGAAGATGATGATGGTGATGAGGATAGTCGTTGTTACGTTCATAGACGGTACTCGTGTTAGTTGTTGATTGTGTAAAGCCCTATCCCTTATACCGAACTAACGGAGGGATAAGTCTTAAATCAAACAAGTAGCGTCAAGTATCGATGTTAAGAAGTAATCAACAACTAAAGAAAAATATGTACATGAGTGTTCAGTATATATATGTTTCTGAAGGTCAGCCATGAGGCGCTGACTGATGTTCTACGTCATGGTCTGGATTCTGTCACGTGATTGTCACGTGACTGGATATAACTAGGTACTTGTGTTATCCGCGCTAATAGCAGCAGCTTAACAACTTATGTCTGTCATGTGATCAGATATCAAAGAAAATGAAAAAGAAATTAGCGCTCTAACTAGCGCTCTGGCTCAAGTCGTGACATATGCCATGCTCGGAACCTGCCCAGACATTGCCTACGTTGTTGGAATACTAAGCAGGCATAGCTCAGCTCCAAGGAGCCATCACTGGGAAGCTGCAAAATGTGTCCTCCGATATCTGAAAGCAACCAGGGACATGGAACTACGATATGATGGCACAGATGTCTCCATGGACATGGATTTCTATGGATATTCAGATGCAAATTGGTCTGGAGACCCAGACACGTCTCGATCAACATCAGGGTTTGTCTTTATCACCATCCGAGGAGCAATCTCCTGGACAAGCAAAAGACAAAGCATGGTAGCTTTATCCTCCACGGAGTCAGAGTACATTGGATTGAGCAATGCTGGACAACACCTTGCATGGCTTCGGACATTTTTTGAAGAAATTGGACATGCTCAAAATGGACCTACAACATTGCACTGTGACAATCAAGCAGCTATCATTCTTACACGAGATCCACAGTTCCGTGCTCGCACAAAACACATTCAACGGAAATATCATTTTATCCAAGATGACTTAGTATCAAAGGGAGAGGCAGTAATCAGATATGTTCCTACAGGAGATATGGTTGCAGACATTCTCACTAAACCCCTCACTCATGAAAAACACTGGAAATTCTCTAAAGCTATGGGACTACGGTTGCACTCGAGTGGGAGTGACAAAACCGGATAAACCTGGTCTCTGCCGAAGCAGCCATTGTTCTCCATGGAGCATAGCCACCACTCCATGGAGTAACCATTGTTCTCCTAGGAGCACAATTGTACTCCTAGAAGTCATTATACTGTAGCGAGTAGCACCTCTGACTATAAGTAGTAGGGGGTTTAGTATAGGAATACCTCAGTCGTTTCTATAGCCTCTCGGGCAGCGGCTGAGGTATGTCACATTACATTTATTAGAGATCACCTTAAACTAACATCTATTGTAGTTTCACTTAGGTAAATAATAAAGTCGTTTCTATAGCCTCTCGGGCAGCGGCTGAGTTTCACTTAGTTTTATTATTGTGAATATAAATGGAACATGTGTCTTTCTTGCTCTGAGCGTACTCTTACTCGAAGAGTATACGGGAGATTGAATAGAGTCCCAACTTTATTAGTGTTGTAATCCGTTCGGAACAGGGATAAATTTGATCTTTGAAATTTGCAAGATAAAAGACACCACAAATTATATGGTCCACTATTAAAGACAAAGGTTGCAATTGCGTGTTTTCAAGATTAGGAGTATAACATCTCGGTCAAACCTACAGTGCTCATTCCTGGTACTCGTGGTGCAATAGAACATGGAAATGGGAGCGGATGGCTGATACATACTCAAGGTCAGGGAGAGCTACATAAATGGGAAAAAAGCCCAGGGAAAGTACTCACATTGTCACTCCATTTGTCCATTTTGGGGTGACTTCAATATCGTTACCGAAATCATATTTTGCCTTTGCGATGTTGAACACAGTTAAGATAGAAACCATGGCGGCCCATACTGTAGCGTCAGCAATATGACGGCCTACGCAAATCCGCCTGCCAAATCCAAAGACAAAACCAACAGTGTCATCATTAAGCTTTCCATCAAGCGCGAAGAACCGTTCTGGTTTAAATTTGTATGGCTCTGGGTATTTATCGTCATTGTGGGCCATTGCCCTGTTCGCTTTGAGTAAGCTGACTAGACTAACAACAAATCAGAAGCTATGAGTACGAACCATATATTGGGTACTATTAATGCTCCTAGCTTACTATTAGATCGGTGTCACGGTGTCGCGGTGAGAGTGAGATCACCAACCCTTTGGTATAAAATGTCCCTCGAAAATATCATCATTAGTGGCAGCATGCGGAACACCTACTCGTGGGCAGTGAAGTTGAAGTGAGGAACGACCATATAAAACTGGAAAAAAATGTTGCTCACCAAGGGGAACTACAGGATGCCATCGGAGAGTCTCACGAAAAACTGCTTCAACATAAGGCAGTGATGTCCTGTCACTGAAGTCTGGGAGTCTACCTTGGACTACCACTGCGTCGATTTCCAATTGTGCCTTTCTTTGTACATCAGGATTCTGGAGCATCGCGAGCATAAATACCATGAGCACTGAAGAAGACTAAGATTTTCCGTTAATTTTCCGTTAAAACGTGTTGATGCTATCCATGAAAATTGGCTCACAGTTTCTGCGGCAGCTATAGATAGGGCTAATGAGTCGTTATCACAAGGCATACACACCAGACTACCTACCGGAGAAGGCGGTGGCAGAAGAGTTTTTGATTGCAAGCTCATATGAAGGGTCCTCATCTTTCATTCGGCTTAGTAGATCAGACACCATACATGGCATTGCTGTCCCTGCCGACTAAATGTATGTCAGACGAGAACTTGAGAAATAACAGAAAAAGGGCACACAATATTCTGCTTTGTGTACTCAAAAGGAGCTTCAATCATTTCCACAGTCAACTTCTGACACTCAAGGGCACTGCGCTTGAAGGCTGCTCCGGGAAACCAGAGAGGGATGTGTAGTACTATGTTCTCGCACGTTGGTACGAGAAATATACGGTTGCAGTCAGATACTCACAAAATGGCAATGCACTAAGGACTGCTGCTCTCTCGGGTGTATTCTCTCGTGTGAGTGTTGTTGATGCACGCTCCACAACCATGACTAGAGGGTCATGGCGTGGCGCTGGGTTGTAACCATATATTACTTCCATGATAATAGACGCGCTAAGCCTATGACAACACATTAATATAGTGGGGCTCGCTATTTCAGCTGTTAAGGCGTACTCACGTGTTCACATGATCAGCATAGTCTTTTGGTGCCTCGAGTAAGTTGAGAAGGAACTGGTGGACTCGGCGTAACTGTACAGGTCGATACTTTAGAGCTGCTTCTGTTCGAAGCGCCTGATGTAACAGTCGTCTATGTAGTCGCCATGTACTGCCATAGGCAAGAGTTGCCGAAAAGAATGCCATCCCAAATCTGCAGTAGTCACCGTAGTTCATGATTCATGTACAAAATCAATAGTACACATTAGCCACGTACAGATCGATGGTAGCAAATTGTGGCCGGTCAGAGTAATTATAAGAACGTTGCTCGAGAAGGTTTTTGGCCATTTTCTCGGAGTCAAGGATGATGATTTCCTGGTTGAGTAGGCGAGAGTAAATTATGTTACCTGTTCAACAAAGACCGAACTTAAATATAAGTACAAGAGTTATATAGCAACAAAAACCAGAACACAACGTACCATGAACTTGTGCCCACTCCTTATAGGTAACCCAGGGCTCAGCCAATTTAATTCCAAGTATGTTGCCTAACACAGGCAACGGGCGAGGGCCAGGTGGTAAAATGTATGTTTTACGTACCACTTGACGGTTTATAAGAATATAAGCAATCGCAATGAACAAGCATAAACAAAGGGCTGGGGCAAGACCATCGAGTTGTATTGAGCCACCGGACATGGTGGGGAACCCAGAGAAGTGATGAACTTTTCCAGGAACAGTTTGCCATTTAAATAGGCCAATCCAAAAGCACCCTATTACACCAGTGGCTGCGGCTTTCCTATCTACATTCTTTCAGAGAAAGCCATCACTGATAAGGGAATAAGGGCTTTGATTTCTGAGAAGCACTGACACGAGCTGGCGTGGGGAACATCGTCACCTTTTGACACAAAACTTGACTTGAAGTAGCAAGTAGCTATACCTACTTGACAATGGCTGGAACGTCACGTGTGTCACGGCCTTCCTTTCGGTTTAAGCTTCGGAACCTTCTCGAAAAGCTAATATCGAACCATCCAGATAGAAAACCAGCACTACACTGATGAGATTAGCGGTTGCCGAGTATACGTATACTTGCGCGGGCGCTCGATACAGGTAAAGCATTACACACCTGCCAGTTCATATGCTCCATCGAAGAGCATTGTAACACGTTAAGGCGCCAAGATTCGATTATATGTAACCGTAAAAGCTCTCGCAGCAAAGACTGCAAAGAGCTGGCGATGTGTCTCGTCCGACTGAGGCTTGCCCGTGAGTGCTGAATGACGACAGAGTATTGTAGAGATACGAACCTTAATAAGTATTTCAAGTGTGACCATCAGAACCTTACAGTCTCTTCGCTCGATACATAGAGAATATTTGAAACAATGAATATGATTGTCAAATGTTTTATTTTCATATTTTGGCTGCTATGTCACGTATGGGAATCAATCATCTGCAACAGCTTCTCGGGGCTCATCCCTGGCCGAATGTCAATGCGACACGGATACGGGAGTGGGTGGCTATGAACAAATTCAAATAGCGACATAGAAACTAGTACAAAACAAACTCACGTAGTTATTCCAACTGTCCATTTCGGTGTCACTTCGATTTCATTGCCTTGTCTATCTTTGGCTTTTGTGATGCTGAACGTGGCTAATATAGACACAAAACTGGCCCACAACGTTGCATCAGCGATGTGACGGCCTACGCAAACTCGCCTTCCAAATCCAAAGATAAAGCCAACATTGTCGTTATTCAACTTTCCATCAGGGGTAAAGAAACGTTCGGGCTTGAAATTATTGGAGTCTGGATACTTGTCTTCATTGTGTGCCATCGCCCTGTGAGTCTTGGGGTCAGATGCGATGCATATCAGTAGTTCACAACACATCGAAACAAACCATATGTTTGGTATCACAACTGCTCCTGCTTTAAATCAGATCGGTCAAAAGGAAACAAGTCAAATATTACATACCTTTGGGTATGAAATATCCCTCGAAATGATCGTCGTGTTTAGTAGCATGTGGAATTCCTGCTCATGCTCAATATATTTATATTGAGGAAGATGCATGCAGATAAATCTACTTACCAAGGGGGGCTACAGGGCGCCACCTGAGCGTCTCACGAAAAACTGCTTCAACGTAAGGCAATGATGGCCTATCACTGAAGTCTGGAAGCCTGTCTCGACCTATGATGGAGTCGATCTCTAGTTGTGCCTTGCGTTGTACATCAGGGTGAAGGAACATCGCAAGCATGAAAACGTTGAGTGTCGAAGAGGACTGAGCTTGGTGATTAATGTATAATCAAGAGAATATTGCAACTAAGACTCACAGTCTCTGATGCAGCTATTGGAAAAGTGCATATTAGGAGATGCAGAGCTTATAATCAGGAATACTCACCAGCGAACGCGCTGGCAGAAGCATGTTTGATTGCAAGTTCTCGATGACAGTCCCCTTGCTCCGTCCGACTCAGTAAGTCGGATACCATCGACAGCTTTGCTGTGCCTGCAGCCTAACCCGATCTCAAAGATAGATTTTTACGTATGAAAAGAAAAGAACACACCATGCTCTGCTTTGTGTACTGGAAGGGAATTTCGACCACCCCTACAGTCAGCTGTTGACACTCAAGCGTAAGACGCTTGAAACTTGCTCCAGGAAACCAGGCAGGGATGTGTCGCACTACATACCAGCATGAATCAAACCGTATACACACATGAACTGCTTACAAAATGGTAATGCGCCGAGGATCGCCGCTCCCTCGGGACTTAGTGCCTTGGCAAGTATATTCGTTGAGCGTTCCACGGCCTCAACCAAAGCGTCATGGCGGGGCGCCGAGTCATAACCATATGTCACTTCCATGACGACAGACGCAGCCAGTCTAAAATGCACCATTGTGAACATTGACAAAACTCCAACACCGTGATACCCACGTTTGTATATGTTCAGAATATTCTTCGGGTGTTTCAAGAAAATTGACCAGTAGCTGATGTACTTTGCGTATCTGGACAGGTCGATACGTCATAGCCGCATCCGCTCGAAGTGCCTGTTGGAACATTCTCCTATGTAAACGCCAGGTATTGCCATGATTGAGAAATATTGAACTAAACCCCCATCCACACCTATAGTGAAGGACATTTGACAAATAGAATGATGAGCATAATTGTCCAGATATGGAAGAAAACTACGCACATGTCATTTGTGATATACTGTGGCCTGTCAGAGTAGATATTGGAACGACGTTCGAGGAGGTCCTTGGCTACTTTTTCAGAGTTGATAGTGATTATCTCCTGATTCAGTAGGCGAGAGTAGACTAGGTCACCTGGAAAGCCTCGTATAAGCAAAGTTCCTTAAAAAGAGTTGTTAAGTCGTACCGTGAACTGTTGCCCATTCCATGTAAGTAATCCAGGGGCTGTTGGTGTCGAAACCGAGTATGTTTCCTAATATAGGTACAGCTCGAGGGCCGGGGGGTAGGAGAACCTTGCGTTTCGTCAAACCATTCGCAAAACCAAAGGCAACTAGAAAGGCGAGCAAGAGAAGCGGGATTGGTATATCGAGTGGCAAACGGTCGATAGACATACTGGGAAGACAAGTTGTGTTTTGGTGGACTTCACAGGCCTATTTAAACGATTTGATCAATCAGATATGTCCTCATTCCACGTTGGCCAATTCCAGTTCCGCAAAGCTTCTATCAGCGAGATTGGCGGAATAGATTATAAGTTTTCTCCTTTGCGACGTCATGTTGAAACATCAACTTGACAGATATAATGTCCTCTATATCCTTAGTTGACCGTGAACCCCGCGTCGAAAAACATGTTGCATAGAGAAGACCGGCCACTGTGGTCTTACACTGCATCGGAGGTTTGAGCATGACAATGTTAGACTGTGCTTCCATAAACGAAGCAAGTACACAAGGTTTTTGTTCTGGATCTCGCGCGCTTTTAACACCTGACCAGCATCGGTAAGTAACTGTCGCATACCTCTTGACAGACAAACGAACTTGAACGTTAAATGTCATTGTAAAGTCGTGATGATTGTCAGAATGCCCAAATGCGACACATTGCGCTGACGTAACGTTCCGTGTACCGTGGTCCGTATATTTTCGTCCGAGTCTCCTAAACGGATGCACATGTCTTCAGCTTTCTTGTCGCGCTATGCAGAGTCTCGTATCTCACCTCCGTCGCATTTTCTCCCACATGATAATTATCCAAAGGACCTGACGGAGAATCAGGAAGAGCTACTTACTTTAGTTCGGATACTCAAACCGCCTTTTATTGAACAACAGCTCAGTGCAGCTTTAGACTACCTCAGAGCATCTGAATTCAATGTCGAAGGACCCACAGGACCTAGTTTTGACAACCTGAACAACACCAATGTCGTTCTTAGAAAAGCAGTAGCTGGAAGGATTGTCCTTGGAATATATGCCAATGCTCTGGACGTGTACTTGTCGGAGGCCAGTACAGCTGAAAATGATGCAGAGTGGTGGGCAGATATCACTCGGTCTTGGACTTCTGTGGCCCTGTATCTTATCCAAAGTACGTTTGCAACGTCTCATCCCCGCATTTTGTGATTTCCATGGTGTTTCGAGTTATATACTTGTATATGCCAACATATAATCATATGCATCTAATATTGGAAGCATTTTGTAGTATTCAATGTATTTACTGATTGCCTTTACAGCTCTTCCTGGACGGTTACTCAGCGTGTTGCAGATAATAAAGACCAATAATGTTCCTTTACGTCTTTCATCGTTCTATCCCTCTTCTCTTCATCATCTGTTCCCTTCCAGAAGTGCTTTGCTCCCTCATCCCCTCATTGTCACACTCTTCCCGCATTTGAACACGCAACATGAGCCTCTTGTTCCAGCGACATCTAGGTTCTTATCGTCCGCCCTCCAAGCACGTCGTGACCACACTTCCGATTTTATCAAGGATGCGTATCACCTAATCATTTTGTGTTCGCAGGAGGTAGTCTCCTTCTTGGGATTACCGCTCCGCTGGACGCGTCAGGAGTGCCAACTAAAGAGAAAAGAACTCGAAAAAATTAGAGACGAAAGGGCCGAGGTATTAGGCCGATTGGTCGAACTAAGACCTCAGCTTTCCCCAATTCTTGAGGAAAATTACGGCTCATCAACTTCAGGACCTTCTCGCGTTGACGATACCCTCGCTAGCTTTGTCGATGCGCTTGGGCTCGCTACTTCAGATGATGCATCATCTCTGTCTGTAGTCAATGGCGCGCAGAATACAATAGCAAAACTTTGCCTGATTCGAGATGAAATATTTATTTCCCACAGGAAACTGCACTCAGAGTGTCTCAACAATCAACGTCTCCTTCGACCGTCTCGTTTGACCCTTTTATGGCCACGCCTACTCCTCCTCCCTCCGCTCGTTTTGTACGGAGTTCGCTCATTATATGCATCCCGTGCTTCTATTTCAGAACTAGCCGAGGATACGGTGGAGACCATACAAGGTTTTACGAAAGATTGGCTGCTGGAACCCATCAAGGGCGTTGTCAAAACTATCAAAGCTGGCGGGGAGGAAGGGGTTATTGTCCGCAAGGAAGCCGTGGCTGCAGATTTGGCGTCTCTTGAACGTATGACGCTTGCCCTTGCACAAGATACGTTACGCTACGATGCGGAACAACTAGCGACTTTATCCCGTCAGATCCGCCTTGGAGACTTGACCACAGTACTGAGGATCTATGAGGATGATATCAAAACACCCGTCAAGTCTGCTATCGCAGGCACTTTGCTCAGGTCGATGTTCGTACAAGTGCAGAAGGCAAAGGTAATCTGCCATCATATCTCATTTGACTTTTAATGCAGTTCTGACCGAACATGTTCGCCATAGGTAGACATTGACCAAGCGTTAACGGGTATCGACAAGCTGTTAAAATCTCAAGAACTCACATTCGCTTTCGTGGGTGTTGCTCCAGCTTTTGCCGTGGTCTATGTGCTGGGTGGTTTTTTGAAGAACGTATGGTTGGGAGGACGAGGTAGAGGCAGGTATGGTGGTAAACAAAGAAGAGCCGGAGTTTGGCTTGCAATGAGGTACGGATTGCTATGTGTCGATCTCCGGTGAATAATTTGCGATATCTATGCTACAGGAGGATAGAACGGTTACTAGTCTTCCAGCCGAAATCAACATCACAGCGGTCTCGACGCGGACAGACAGAGGATCGTGACGACACCATGGCTCTCCCACCTCTAACATCCGGTCTGCTCGTGCTCTCGGTGACACATCTACGCAAGTATGCAGAAAGCTCTCTGCCAGCTCGTTCACGTCTGCGCGAAGGATTTTTGGAGGACGTCCGAGACCTGGAAGATCCCACGCTTGGGAGGGGTGAGAAATTGAGAGTGGTAGACCGGATGTGGAAGAGCTGGGGTGAAGAACTAGGCTGGAGTAGATTGGGATGAAGATAGATAATTTGACTGATATGTCGATCTATATTATGCTCGGATTGCAGCTGAATAAACTCTCTAATGGTATCATTATCCTATTCAAGTGGGGTAATAACTAGTGTGATCATGTCTACCATCAGCTTAGGAATAACACTTCGAAGAGATATTAGTAGGTATAAAGATTATTCCTGTGTGATACATAATTGAGTATTGCAAGGTTGTGACCAGTGAAACGTGGAAGGGACCTTAGGCCAAGGTCTGGATATACTTCTCAATAAGATCCCGGAAGAATGGTATAAAAAGTAGCCGCGCGGGACTTAGGGGTGGTGGAATCACCATCCCACCTCCCAGTCCTCTTCTATGCCACGAGTCCACTGCAAAGACCGTTTAGGGATAGCCGACCGGTCAATAATAGGATCACTCACCTAAAGGTTGCCCAAGTATGATGATGCAGAAATAAACCCAAAGAATCCCATAAACGCCGCCTATCCTCCTCCCAATCACTTTTCTCCACACGCGCTCGAACATCAACAGGGGTCCCTGTACAGCAAAGAAAAACGGAACACGGTAATCAAAACCAGACCCCATGGCGTATATCGCGAACTCGTGGTATAAGCCAGATCCTATGAATGTACCGATCACCATGCCAAAGTTTCCGCCAAGCAGCTCCCCGGGGTAGCCTCCACAGATGATGAATGTCTGACGGAGGACCTGATGCCAACGCTTGGCCCAGAATATGTGTAGCGAGTCTGAGCTCCAGGGATGGTCCATGATTGGGGGCCACGCTGAAGGTGGGCTTTGTAGAAGGCCAACAGCTATGATGGTGATTAGGTCATAAATCATCTGAAAGCCATACAGTAGACAACTGCCAGTCGCGACGTGGATGGCGGTAGATAGAAGAAAGCGTTGTGTGATAGGTAGATCGTGGAAGAAGATGCTCCTCCCTTCTGGAGTTCCGACACCAGGAACTAGTTTAATCATAGACTCAAGGAAATCAAGAATGAGGAAATTCTGGAGGAATGATAATACTGTTGACTTCAAGAAGAGGGCTCGTTCAAGGGATTTGTGTTCCTTTGGGACATGTACGCCTACGCCGTACTTCCAACCCAGCCCACGCATAGATAATATTAGCTCCGACGTGTCATAAAAACAAGATTGCGAGATCTGAGGAGAGGTCGTCTTGGACCCATGCGAAGCTGAACCGTTTGTTTGGCCATCGGACGTTTTCGGGGCAGTGACCGTAGGTCGTATACCAGGACTAGACTCTCCAACCCTCAGCATTCCCTCCCTTGTCAAGGCATAGTGCACAGCTTTCGCAGCCAAAGCTTCAGCAAGAAGACCTTAGAGAATAGTAGCACATGATCAACTCTCTACCCAATCTACACGTGCAGACACGCAAGCCACTCACATTGACCCCAGTTGTACACGTTCAATCTAGGTTCTGTCCACATGAAGCGATACGAAGTTCCTAGTGTGACGACAAGGACAAGGGGGAGAAGAAGCAGCCGAACAACATAAGTACCTGGCCGTCTAGCAAGGTAGGCCATGTATACGAAGGGTATGAATGGGATAATTGCATATGGGATATGTTTATTGGTTATAGGTGTCCGTTCGTGAGGGTGTGGCACGAGTATTCTAAACGCATCGTGTGCGCTGTAGATTAAACTGGAGGTCACAGGCAAAAAAGGTCTTTAGACTCGGAGGACAAATGTCGGTTTTAAACATCTAGGAAGTATGCTCACTCTTCAAATAAATTTGACCACATATGCACGCCTGGTCTATCCAAGAACGTTAATTTCCTGCTGAATCGTGATGATGAGACGTTGCAACGAGCTCACTGGCTGCGCCACGATGCACTACAATCCGCTACGATGCAAACCCCGCACCGGCCTTACAAGTAACGTAAAAGAAAATGAGAGTGTGCTGACTCAGCGGTGGGTACTCCGAGTCTGACCCGAATGTTTTCCATTGGTCTACTTTGACATGAACTGCGATATTTTTATGTATCAGGACTCCTATCAGGCGGTAGTCATTCTGCAACTGACATTACTGTAACAATTACAAAGAGACTGATATCTCAAGTACAGATTTGGCTGTTCTTTGTTGCTTTGGCCAAAGTTAACTATCCTTCGCCTTTGATCATCTCCGTGATACATGTGCTCGAGCAGCTTGAAAGCATCTCTAAGTTGATACTCTTACAGCTTTAATTCATTCACGTTCAGTTCTCCTTTGGATAACTCCAAATTGGAACACTCTGAATCATGAGGCCTGATCATTTCCACGTCCATACATCTTATTTGCCATATATCGCAGAGGTCAGGAGCCAAATAACATCCCTGTCAGTTCTCGGGGTTCTGTCGTTGCCAGCAGCACAGGCTGTATAGAGCTTGGTGAACAAACTTACTGGAGGAATGGCGCAGATCATATCACCATGTCTGTGTAGGCAACCATCTCTCATCAGGAAGTCGTCTGACAGCCGGATTGGAATACCGAGAACAATACGCGCCCTTCCATTGGCGCCCGCTATATATGCAAAATCAGAATGACGATAGGAACTATTAGTCCCCGCAATGGCTCATTGAGATATTTGATTTGACTCAACTGAACCTCAACGAGCTGCCATGCATCGATGCGGGCGTGAGCCCCTTTCTCTGGCATGACAGCGCTTCACCGGGAGTCACGGAAATTGCTTTACCTCTTCTCTTCTAGTGGTATCAATCAGTAGAACCAAAGTGATGGTCCGTTTCGAGGGGTCGTCTAGCCCAACACGCAGATAGATAACGCAGAAGAGGTACTCATCTTCGTAGTCCATAGATGGATAATACGCCATAATGATTCTCGTTTCCGTAAGATCGTTGAGTTTGTTTAATTACTATACACACCTTATACGTGCGGGGATTAGCCGAAATCATATTTGAGGACGTTCCGATCCTATGCGGAACCGTAGAAAAGGCTGAGACTAAAGCATCGGTGCATAAAGAGGATAACCTTTCAGAATGACCGGAGCCTCGGCACGATGCATGGACCCCCAGACTGGCTTCGAACCTTTCCGCAAAGGGACCTGTCCGTTTTCGGAAAGGGCTATGGATTGCCTGCGAACGATGCATTGCTAAATCGCAGGAACCTCGGGACGCGGTTGATCAGACCTTGACGGAGCAAGATTAAACAGCGAACAAACGGACCAACGGGTGACACGCACCATCATATTGACGCTGAATTTAGTGTGAGAAGAGAAGGAGAAGCATAAATGAACTCACAACTAGAAGTGAGTGTATTATCCTTCCTTCGAGGCCTTGAATGTAAGTAGAAGCATAATGCATCCGGTTCGAACTTCAAGAGAGGACCGGGTATCGGGAACATCTGTATCGGCGCAAGAAAGCTCATGACCCACAGGGGTCTAGATATCATCGACCATTTTGCATACCATATGTAGCTCTACGCAGATAGTATGTCGTGTTCGAGTCTTTGTTAGACGAACTTACGGTTGGATATCCCGAAGTGCACAACTTCATAACAAAATCATATGCATACATTTGGCGAGACAGGATGGTCTTCTACCACCAATTGTATACAACGTGGGACACTGAACTGTATAGCCTGAGTGAACAGAACAGAATAGATTTCTGAGACCACGAGGGAAAACTGCCCATAACTGACTCTTGGGATCAGTCGTGACCGCCTTGACCGAGACGCCGCTGTCGGGCTGATAGTGGACGTCTCGAGAATAACAAATTGTGCGAGACAGTGGGACGCGTGCCATCAAACGTGGAGGTGAGAGTGAGGTATAGGTATATCAATGTATATCAGTGGTAACACGTAGCTGGACTGATGTCTTGTGGTGTGAGAAAGATAGACTAGAGAAACTCACGTAGTAGTGGACGCAGTCTACCTTCTGCCGAAGCCTGTAGTGTAGATTGTGTGAAATGGACCAGAAGAGGGCTAGCTGTCGCTTGGAGAGAAGTGGACAAGAAGTTAGAACGGAAGGTTGACGGGAAGTCCGTGAGCAACGACATCTAGCTAGCAGATATTGCATATTCTGATTGGGTGTATAAATCCGGCCATCAATAGAAGCGGCCACAGGTTGTATGATGAATGCTACGTTGTACTCGAGAGCGTAGACGATGGCTAGTAAATGGAAACTGTAGATGCTTGAACAGCACAGCGAACATGCATGCCGTGTCATAGACATCGTGACCATGTGGAGGAAGCGAAAGACGAGGTGATAATGCTGTGCGGTAAACGCTGGCACGTTTTGGGCGCGATGATGAACAGAAGAAGAGAGATGGTGTTCGGTCAGCGGAGAGCCCCGGTGTCGAGGAAGATGCAGGATTTCGCGTGGCAACCGAGATGCAACGTCGTTCTGATACAAAATGTAGTTAGATATATGAGAGTTGAGTGTTTCTCACCGAGGAACATTTGCGAATGATGGATGGCTGTAGTAGTAAGTGGCAATTCTCACCAAGGGTGGATACCGCGGTCGCGTTATTTGTCTGTGTTGTAGTCTGTTCGACCCCGAATGAGCCATGCTTTTTTGAACTGCGGTCCCGCTCAGCTGCTGTTTGGCCATTGTTGCTCTGGGTCATTCATTACTTACGACAACGAAAACGCTGTATCCTCACCACCCGGTTCTCTCTCTTTCCTCGTTGTACCCATTATCTCCTTTGTTTTCTAGTCCCAGTCCGCATTCATTTGCAGGACACCTTCGACCAGCACCGAGCACACACAACCCGGACACCCTTTCTCAGCTTCTCGCCTCTTGTCTTCTTGCCCTGTCTTCCTCTCTGGTATCTTCATTATCACCTTGATCTGCCTCCAGTCGTCTCTTGTTCTTACCACAGCACTCGCCGTTCCCAGGTTTGACGCTCATATTTCTTTAATTTGCTTCAGGTTCGTTCTATCACTGTCGTCGATTTTGGCCACTTCGAAAGCAGCCGTCGACCGTTTTTTTTCTTGGATTTAACTACATTTGTGAGTACACTTTAGACTCTGAGCTGGGACCATCTTAACCTTGCTATGCACTTCGGTGTACACACTAATATGTAGAAATTGGTACATAGGTGACTTGCCTCATCTATCGTCTATTTTTGCCTCGATTTGAAGCCAACCATTATTCTGGCTCATTTGTATCGCCAACAAAATGCCGGTAGCTCGACTGCAGATAAATACCAACCTTGGCAAAGGCACTGGTCCTTATTTGTCAAAGTCGTCTTCCCACAATCAGACGACCTCCGACGATCCTTCTCACAACGGTAGTTCCTTAATTGCAACGCGACTACGAAGCTCGTCAGTTGCATCTACGACTTCATCGTTGTCCGTGGATTCTCCTGGGCCATCATCTTCGAACGCATCTACCACTTCGCTTCACTTGTCCGCTGGGGCCAAAATTCACTCTGACCCCGACTCCACATCATATCCTCTACCGAGTCCCGTGAGTCCATCTGCGGATGAAACAGTTCGAGTCACACCCGAATTTGTTCTGGCGCTACACGATTTCGACCCTCAACATCAAAACGCCACATGTCTATCCTTTCGGGCTGGTCAAGTTATTCACGTTCTCAACCGGGATCCTAGTGGTTGGTGGGACGGTGAAATAAATGGGCGACGAGGATGGTTTCCTAGTAATTATGTCGGCACAGATGAGAGTATCTCCTTGTTAACAGAAGAGGAACTTCCACATCCTATTGTGAGTTGGCCCCAGCTATATTTCGATGCATTTTTTTTTCTCATTTTATTTAGCGTCCACGACTTGGGCATGGACATACTATGTCGGCCGTGTCGGCAACCTCTTGGGCTACTGCATCGTCGCATAATCCTAGGAGTTTGACACCTAAAGATCATCGTCCGTTGGTGACGGAGGCTCTTGGTCCAGAAATTAACTCCTATTGTCCGCCGCTCATGGTGAATCTGTTGCATAGTTTGTCTCTTCTGCAAAGTGCAGTACGATCGAGTCGGGTTGCGCATTTCCAACCGTCTACTGCATGCATAATATCCTGCGTGCGCTACATACTATCTGCCACGGAGTGTTTACCTCGCGAAGCACCGCTTTTAAAACGCTATTCTACTCTTGCTCAAGAGCGGAAGTTGATACTATCATTGCTAGCTTCTCTTGTTGCACAGGCCAAGAAGGCTTCTGATGATACTCATGACGAAGAATCTCGTGACGCAGATATCGAGGCTATGCTGAAATTGGGAGGCCAGGTCTTCTCTCAAGTACGGCGTTTTCTAGCCGTTGCAGTACAATGTGGTATTGACATACCAGAACGTGGACCCCCAGTGCCTTCTGTAGAGGGTGCACTGGATACAGAGGATAAAGTACAGCGTCTCAAAGATAATGAAAACGCTACACCTATCCCTGTGCAGGATACTACTCCAGCGAAGTGCACTACCCCCGAGAAACCACCACCTATAGCAGACTCAAACACTATCCTTGCCTCCAAGATTGCCCTACGAGCGAAGAGTATGGGTGACCTCAGGTCCCCTACGAACATTACTGCTTATCGCGACTCCAATTCATCCATGATACCTTTGTTGCCTCATCGAAGTATCATTGCCCGTTCGAAGAAAGACAAATATTTGCTGTATGAGCGTACCGCTAGCAATCGCCACAAGCCCAGCGTGGCGTCTGTTAGTAGCGTTTCGTCGTCTTCATCGTTCTCATCAGCCGAGTCTACCAAGCAGCCCGTGGTTCCTCGTTTCCCTTCTGGTCCTTCTACTGCCAATGAAGTGATGGACGCCCTCCGATACACCCGCGACCAGTATCTTTCTACCATAGCTGCCTTCATAGGCCATGCTCATTCTCACACCCGTTCATCGCACGCATCTAGTACTGGTCACATGTATGATCTGGTCCGAGAAATCGTTGAGTTGGTCTGCAAGCTGCTCACCATCGTGGAAGCGGTTATGCGCCATCCAGATATTCCGTCGAACAGGATAGGCAGTTTGAAAGCTGCGAAAGAGGGCCTTTACAATGTTACGAGCTCCTTGGCGGAATCGGTACGACTTCTCACTGTGGCTTTACCACCAGATGTTACGGAGGAGGAAGAGAAATTAGAACTGTTGCGTTCAGCGACTGGCGCTCTGAAGGCTGGTGCTGACTGTGTCTCCGCTGTCAAGATGTGTTTGAACCGTAATTTTGGTGATAAGCCATTCATCATACAAATTCCTGTCGGCTCGGAATCTGATCCTGCTTCATTCACGCCAAGTAAATTTTCAAAGAGACATCTCTCCAAATCATCTAGCATCAAACGCCTGCACACTTTGCACGATAGCGGCGAAGAGGATCCAGACCGGACTATTCAGATACACGCAACGCCTATGGAGACGCCGAGGAAGGCCCCTAAAGTCAGGGACCCCTCTCCAGAGCACTCTGATGTATCGAGCGGTTCGAAGTCGTCATTGGCCTCGCGGGAAACGTTGTTCACGTCGCCTGAAGACATGAAGCCTGAACTGTCCGCTGTATCTGAGCACATTGATGATGAGAAGGATTCTCTTCCATCGACGCCGGCTATACCGATGGAGCATGGAGGCTCGGCATGGGGAAGCTCTCAGCAGGACCAGCAATCAGTCACTACATTTGAGGATAAGCTCGTTAATGGCGAACTACCAAGTCATCCGCGTGATCCCATGGGGCATGATTATCCTGCGGAAGATGTGGTTTATAACAATGATGGTCATCTGGTGGCGGCTTCGCTGGAGGTGCTCGTGGAGAAGATGACCCCGCATGATAGTATTGTGGACCCAGCCTTCGCAGCTGTCTTTTTCCTCACGTTTCGCCTTTTCGCCTCACCAGTGGAACTCGTCGAGGCACTTATTGCTCGCTATAACATTATGCCGCCTGCTAATCTGTCCGACGAAGACTCGATATTTTGGCAGCGGCACAAGGGTATACCGATACGGCTTCGAGTCTCCAATTTTGTGAAAACATGGTTAGAGATGTACTGGCGCTCAGGCATTGATGATTCTGCCTTGAAAGAATTGGCTGCATTCACACGAGATGCTCTCATGAATTACTCCCCAACACCGTCCCAACGCATTCTTGATTTGATCTTGTTGAGGGAGAACACACCCGAGAGTGCAATCAGCCCGAAAAACGAGCGCGTTCGTGATCCTGGGATGTCCATCAATCCTCCATCTTTCTCTCCCTCCGAGATTCCACGGCCGACTATGACGAAGGCCTTGTTGGGAGCTCTGAGGACGAGAAACTTTTCTTCTGTCTCTATCACTGATTTTGATGCTCTGGAGCTGGCGAGGCAGTTGACACTTATGGAGTGCAACCTGTACTGCGCAATTCAACCAGAAGAGGTATTAGAGATGGGACAGCAAGGCGCTAAACCACCTGTCAATGTCAAGGCTGTGAGTTCCCTGAGTACGGTGATAACTGGTTGGGTCGCAGAGAACATCCTGAATGAGCATGACATCAAGAAACGCACTTTGCTAGTCAAGTTCTTTATCAAGGTTGCTGATGTAAGTCAGGTATCACAGTTCTAAAAGGTGCATTTATTGACTTGTTTATTAGCGTTGTACGTACCTGCACAATTTCAGCACTCCACGATCAATACTCGCTGCTCTCGATTCTTCAACCATCTCCCGATTGCACCAAACTTGGCTGGTACGTCGTATTGCTATTTTTATTTTTATTTTTCGAAACTAAATCAAATATTTTAAAGAATGTGCCTCAGAAAAATAAAGCACAGTTAGACATGTTGCGAAGACTTGCGGACCATGGAAGGAATTACCATGAATACCGCAGTAAACTTCGCAACACCGCGCCCCCAGCGGTGCCGTTCTTGGGTAATCGTTATTACTATCACTTATTTGCGCTGCTGGCTAACTATTTCATTTACAGGCCTGTACTTGACAGATGTCACCTTTTGTCGTGAAGGGAATCCTTCGCTTCGGGAATCACCTTATGTACCGGGTAAGAAACTGTTGAACTTTAATAAGTATCACAAGCTTGCTAGGATCGTACAAGGTATGAACTACCCGTGTTCTTTCGCGATGCCTTTTCACCTATCACGTGATTTCCTAGATATGCAACGGTTTCAGGTGCCTTATAATTTAAAGGAAATTCCTGAAGTGCAGGAATATTTGAGCATTGCATTTGAGAACTCAAAGCATCACGGGGATCTGCAAGATCTTTATCGTCGAAGGTTGGTTGAAGTACCTCTATTTAGTAAGCACAACTAATTTTTTCTTCGCAGCTTACTTGTGGAACCCAAACAGCCAGCCGATACTCCTCCAGTCAGTGACATGCGGCAACTCTTCAATTGGGCAACTCGTTCGCAGGCGCAACAGCCTACTACATCTGCATAACATCTTTGATTCACTATTTGCTAATGAACTCTTTTTAACATCCTTCATTGTCTATTATTGTTTTGTTAGCTGTCGAATATCTGTCAACTCAACTACATTTTCCTCTCCCCAAACTCATCGTTATATTGCATCGTCAATCATTATTGCTGTTTGTCTGTATTCACGTGGAAGCTATAGCTAGGTAATCATTTATACATACAGCCGGTGCTGCGTAGTCGATATATCTACGAGTCTACGCACAGCCGTCACTCTCGCATGCGACTGTGATTATACTTAGTGACATAGTATCCAATCCCATTTTTCTTGAGCTTGAGATTCTCATCTACGCGTGGAGAAGACAATGATGGAAAAGTGACATTGGAGACACCAGGACCAAAATCGTAAACAAAAGGCCGGCTCTGGGTGGCGCCGAATACACGAGAGCTTTCAGCTACCAGTGCATATACTGGTGAGGAATCGTTCCCGGGTGCATGCACACTCCACCCCCGAGTTGGGTGACGAACATCCCAAAAGGCCACGACGCTGTGGCGCGCGGAACCTGCTGCGATGTGGCTGGATGAGCCACCTCCACAAGAAACGGAGTATATGGGTTCGAACGACCAAGGATCGTACAATGAAAGCACGGGAAGTAAAGGGGCGGCGCCGTCCAAGCCTTCTGTGCCGCTCGCACGAGCGGACGATCGTAAATCGTGCACTCGTACCATACCATCGTACCAGCCAGATACGATGATCTGGTCAGAAGCACCCCAGGGACACGACTGGGGAACCTCTGAAATGCCATAAACCGCAGACGACCTTCGTGTGCCAAAATCTGCGTTCTTAGAGTGCAATGTCGCAAAAGGAGTTGGGTCAAAGGCCGCGTTTGTGATAGAATGCACTGCAAGTGGGGTCGATGAAGCTGTTCCAAAAACAGCATATGGTGTAGATGACCTGAGAGAGAGAAGGGAGGACCAACTTCTAGCCTTGATGTTGATTGTATGCGGCGGCGAAATGGAAGAGTCTGATATGCTGGAAAAAGCTGCAATGCCAGCTGACGATAAAGACAATAAATAGTTTCCTGCACGTGATAAACTTTCTACGAGGTCCCCGGAGTGAAAGTGGTAAGAATGGTGGCGGGCTCTTTCCAGTGTGACAGATTGTCCACCAAGCTTTTCTGGTGCAGGAAAGAAGACTCGCTCTATGGCGCCATCTTGAAACCCTACGAGGGCTGTTCGGTCCATCCCTCCATCAGGACCGAAAGCGACGCTTGTGATGTCTCGTTTTACGCTATTACGCTCTGCCAAGTTGTACGAACATTCAAACTTGACACCTGGTGCATCTTCAACGGAGCGAGGGTGCGTGAATCGATATAAATAGATGAAACTTCCGGCAGCTACGAGGAGTCTGGAGGGACAGATGGCGATTTGAGGTTGAAGTTTCCCTGCCCAGGGACGAGAGAGAGGACTTGCAACAAATTTGGTTCGCGACCATGACTGGTCCGACAGGGCATTGTATCGCACCTGCTGATGGGAATTCCAAGAAATGCGAGCTTGAGACAAACTAAAGGAAGGGTGTTCGTGGCATCGCAGATATGCTGACCACCCAAAGTCATGCACCTATGCAGATGGTGGTGAGGTTGTGGTAAGGGATGCGGTACTCTCGCGACTCACCAAAGCGTTTAAAAATCTGCAAGTCTGTGCCAAATGGGCGAGCTCGGCTGTGGTGAGTGATTGCAGTACGATGATGAGAACATCACTGGGGAGGGTGAGCATTGCCATAAGCACAGGCCGTTTCGGTTGCGTTTCACAATGTGCAAGAGAGACCTGTATGCAGATAATAATAATGTTAGAGCAAGTGTCCAGTATACGTGTCTTGAGTTCTTCTACGGAGGAGGTGGCATGGTTGAATACAAGACTGAGATCCGGCCTTTTGAAGGAATCCCAGTGCGGAGTGGATAAGAGCTATTTGAGCGCTTCCGTCATGAGTGGATGGGAATATTACATAATCTCGGCATACTCCCTGCCACTGTGCCGAGCGTCGCCGTGTGCTTTGCTGCATTCAAGGTCGCGGTGAAACGCTTCAGGCTGGTGCACAAATACGCGTCTAACGCTCGAATACCACAAGCCTGTCATGCGCAGGGATGTCCGAATATTACTCGTCGGCGACGGTGAGCTCGTATTCTCTAACCTTCACCATCGACCAGCTCAACCTCGCTGCAGAGGGTGTCGGGAAAAGCACCATAGTAACTTCACTCATCAAGGAATCCTTCGTTGCACATGTGTGTATTCAGTGTCTTACCTTCTAGTTGACTCTGACACTTCCTGGCCAGGTTCAACATGTTGTTCCAGAGGTAACGATACCACCAGAAGTCACACCAGAAAACGTAACAACATACATCGTCGATTCTGGTGGTGAGTGCATACACATCATTCATAGCTTCAACCTCGGTACTCACTGTAGTAATTGAATAGCTGGACCTCAAGATCGACAGCATCTTGAATCAGAAATTCGCAAAGCCCATGTCATCTGCGTTGTATATTCCATAGATAATCCAAACTCTTTTGACAGAATACCCACTTTCTGGCTGCCCCATTTCCGCCAACTCGGAGTCAATGTACAGCATGTGTATCTCTTCCCCTCTCATCATACCTAATACTATCAACAGGTTCCAGTCATTCTGGTCGGGAACAAAATTGATCTGAGAGGCGGCCAGGTCACTAATGAGGCGTTAGAGGATGAGATTATACCCATTATGAATGAGTTTAAAGTACGCGATATTCCTCAGCGCTCATGTACTGTGCTAATAAGTCGATATTAGGAAGTGGAAACCTGCGTAGAATGTTCAGCAAAGATGCCACTGAATGTTTCAGAGGTGTTTTACTTCGCTCAGAAGGCTGTACTACATCCGACAGCCCCTCTATATGACTCGCGGGATCATGTTTGTCATTTTCACATTACCGTATTGGTGAGAGGCAAAGTTGCTCACATTGCGTGACTTTAGGTTCTCAAGCCAGCTTGCGTTAGCGCTTTGAAAAGAATATTCAAGCTTTGCGACACTAATAAAGACGGTCTTTTGGATGCCTCCGAACTTAATGAGTTTCAGGTGGCGTAAATTATCGTTGTTGTGGTGCTGCAGTAATTTAACCACTAAAGATGTAGCGAAAATGTTTTGACGCCCCACTTCAGTTGCAGGAGCTAGAGGGTATTAAGGACATGGTCCGAGAACATGCTGCTGAAGGTGTCAGGGATGACGGCCTTACAGAAGCTGGCTTTCTCTATCTCCACACCATCTTTATCCAACGCGGCCGCTTAGAAACAACGTGGACAGTGTTGCGCAAATTCGGCTACGCTGAAGACTTAAGGCTCACTGAAGCCTTTTTATCACCGAGGTAGGTCAATATTAAAGTTATACAACCCTTGCTTGGTTCCATAATTTGATCTTTTCTTCAGGTTTGATGTTCCTTACGATTGTTCTGTAGAGCTGAGCCCGCTGGGTTACCAATTTTTCACTGACACCTTCGAAACATTTGACAAGGTGAGTACTATTGAACCAGCTTCAGAATGGACACCAATGCAGCTATGAACAGGATCAAGATGGTGCTTTGAAAACTGCAGAGCTGGAGGAACTGTTCAGCACTTCACCTGGGAATCCCTGGGCTGGTCAAAACTTCCCGGACACTACATTGGCGGACGATGCTGGTGCTGTAACTTTGCAGGGTTGGTTGGCTCAATGGAGGTATGTAGGGATTCTTTAATATATCCTGTGCCATTGATCTGACTGGTTTCTCTGCAGTATGACAACACTACTGGACCATAAAACCACACTAGCATATCTTGCATACTTGGGCTATCCTGAGGAACCAAGAACGGGTGCTCTTATAACTACACGTCCACGTAAGGTTGACCGGCGCAAAGGGAAGGTGACCAGAAATGTGTTCCTATGCTACGTTTGTGGTGCTGCTGGGTCAGGGAAGACGTCGTTATTACGTGCTTTTGCAGGGAAACCATTTCGGGAAGTCTATGAGCCTACTAGCAAAATGGTCAGCGTGGTGAATGCAGTCGATATTGATGGCTCGGAAAAATATCTAGTTGTAAGTCCTATCTTTGATGATCTCTCAGTGTACTGGGTACTGATGTATTTTTATCAGCTCCAGGAATTTGGTTCAAAATATGAAGCGGAGACCCTCAGAAACGGCAAGAAAACAGATCTGGCAGACGTCATCATATATGTCCACGACTCGAGTGATACAAACTCGTTCTCATACATTAGTAACCTACGGGTAGATATCATCTTGCGCTGCTTACTACATGCCCACCACTAACACACGTCGTCTCGATAGCAACAATATAACCTTGATAATATACCAACATTATTTGTGGCCACCAAGTCCGACCTTGACCTTGCTCAGCAGGTGAGTTTTGTATTTCCATTTCTCTTTTACTCCTCTGACTGACATTCATTCAGAGACATGAAGTGCAGCCAGACGTGTACTGTCGGCGGTTAAGTCTCCAGGTACCTGTCGCAGTAAGCATTAGAACAGGCCAGACTGCAGATGTTTTCCACGCCATTTGCAGTATTGCCATGAATCCGTGAGCATTGTTCCGCTTTGGTGCTGAGGCCCACTGAATGACTAAACATCTATTTTAGTCATGCTGCGATTCCAGGTGGTGTTGACCGTGTAATGACAGCTGCAGAGCGGTTGAGAATGTATGTGACGTTGACGGCTTTGTTGGGTGGAGTTAGTGCAGGGTTGGTTATGCTATATCGGACATTGCTGAGACCAGGGGGAACATTCCCAGGTTGGACTACTCATTGGGCGACATGGCTCATGGCTAGACGGGAGGGTTGATTTGATTGTTCATTTATTATCTAGTATACTCTATAGACTTCTCTAAATTTTCTGTGCTTCGCATCCATTGTACTCTGAGTAGCCTAGTAATAGATCCGAAGTCCGACTGCTGAGATCCGAGATTGCCTGCAGGATGCCGTGCGCTCAAAGCTTGGACCATCCCACTTGTAAATCAACTTCATTCCAAGGTTTCTTGTTTTTGTCCATCGATAACCCACTTTTGAAAGTGCAGGTCGTACTTACAGAGCTTACAGCAACGACAGGCTGCGAAAATCTTCCACTTATCTCAGAACTTGCGCTGTGAACGTGCAGATTACCACCAGCCCAAATGGACGAAGACATGGAGTTCGATTCCAACGTGCCACAGCCTGCTCAGCAACAGCACCAACACCAGTCTTATGATGGTCGTAAGATGCTGTACGTACACCTCTCTTCATATTGGTTCTTAGCTGATCTTGTTGTAGAGACCTTGTTTTCATCCAGGACTGCACAGGAAGTCAGGGGAGCTATATATCATCTGCGACAAGAAATATCGAAGAGATTTGTGCCCATATATTTGAATCTGGGAAGCTGCAAGCCAGAGAGGATCTACGAGTGGGTTTAGTTGCCTTTCGCGATCATCCACCACAGGACCATACCTACATCGTGAAGAACTTCGGATTCTCATCTGATATCAGTAAAGTACATAAAGATTTATCGGGGCTCTATGCTTCAGGAGGTGGCGATGGCCCAGAAGCGGTTACTGCGGCTATGGCTGAAGCTCTGAATATGGATTGGAGAGAACATGCTAGCAAAATGATCGTTTTGATTGCTGATGCACCACCTCATGGAATAGGAGAATATGGTGACGGTGAGTCATAGTAATGAGCTATCTATATTACATTCTCGATTAATTCCGTCGTTCAAGGTTTCGACGAAGGTTCTCCTGATGGATACGATCCACTGCAGTTAGCACGCCTCATGGCTAGTCGTGGTATTACGCTAGTAAGAGCGTCATCTCAAACTACCCGGATCTGTGGTTAACGAATGTTTAGTTTTTCGTGGCTTGCGAGCCAGCACTGAGTGGATATTCAGTGCGTGGTCTCAGTTATTCTGTTGTCAATATATTAATTATCTTTTTTTTAGTATGCCACTGACTTTTACCAAGCCATAACCAACATAACATCGGGTCTAATGCTACCTCTCACTACTGCTGATTTACTCGCACATGCTATTGTCGGTAGTGTCCTTGAAAACCTCGACATGGAGCGATTAGTCCGAGAAGTCGGACATGCAGTAGCCCAGCGTATACTGGGCAACAACGAAAGTGTGGATGACGTCGCTCGTGAACTACACGAGAAACTTCTGCTGCGCAACGAGAGTACAAAAAAAGTTGTCATTGAAAGCATTTACAAAGACTCGGAAGAAGCCAAACACAATGTGTCTGTGTTTACGGAAGCGCCCTCCCTGGCGGAGGCTAGACCTGTACTCAAACGAGTATGTATAAGTCATCTCCAGGCGTTCATCCCAATAGCTAAACACTGTTTAGGTACATGGCACCCGCTTTACTGACAAATATCTTTTAGCACGGCAATCAGCTGTTCGTGGATCCTATTCATATGCTCCTCCACTTCCTGTTCGTTCTACACCGACGAAGACCTATGCGACTTCCCCTAGCACTAGTCCCTCGTCAGGGATTGCGCATTCACCGCCTCGCAAAGTTGTCACTGACTTTGCGGCGTTTGGTGCGCCGGCAAACGCTAGTGTCTTCGGAACTGCAGTTGCTTCAACACCTTTTTCATTAGCGGGTGGTAAAGCTGCATTTGGGGGAATTCGTAACGGAAGCAGCCGGAGTGTCTTCGACGCTGACGATGAAGATGACGAAGACGGTAATGGGAGGCAGCGAGTTGAGTTGAGGGAAGATTCTATTTCTCTCGACCAGGTGAGTGTTTCCCTACACTGAACAAGATACATTATCTCATGCCATTGCAGGCACGGCGAATCGCCATGCAAAGCGCGTGGAGGAGCGTTCGTGGATGAACCAGGGGCGCGTCCAGATATCAAGTTTTCAGTTTAATCTTTGCTCCTACCCTGTCATGTCAGCAGGTTACTACTATGTTCCGCTTTCTTTTCATTCGTGTCATCAGTACGATTATATCGCATGTAGATACAAAGAATAGGTTGTTCCATCATCCCTTGGGACTTGTATCAATATAGTATAGTGCATTTACAATTAATGAGACTCGAGGGTATCAACTAAGTACTCCGTGCTCACAGCGACTATGAAGAGACGGTATCATGATCTGGCTTCCGTCTCCGTTTCTTTTTAAGTGATTTCTCGTCTATAGCGTCTGGCGCGGAAGTCTCCTCGGATACAGGCTCTTGCGCCTTTAGCACCCTTTTTTTGGGATGTCGTGATTTATCTGGAATTTCAACATTCTCCCCTGACGCTGTTAGTGGTTGATCCTCTGAAGACGGATCAGGCCTGTTCTTGCCCTCTTGACGTCTCTTCTCCTTCTTTTCTTTTCTCCTCTTTTCTTCCGACGGCTCCACCTCCCCCTGTTCCTTAGACTCCTTCCGTCTGCGGCGGGACTTCGTGTGCGCTTTTTGTGTGCTTACAGGAGCGTCCAGCTCGTCAGCCTCCTGGTCTTCGGTCTTCTTTGTAGCTCTCCTCGCCTCCTTGATTTCTCGCTTCAATCTTTTCCTTTCTCTTCGCGCCTCTTTATCCTCAGTTACAGCATGTAACTTCCGTTTCTTGCCTTTGGACTTCTTCTCTTCCTTACCGCTCGCCTCGCCTTCCGGGAGTGCAGCATTTTCTGAACCTTGGACGCTCGATTCAGGCTCACAAGTGGGGTCTTCGATATCTGCAGAATCAGGTCCAAGGGTGGGACCGCGAAAAAATCTCGCATATAGTCCCTTTTTAGCGGCTTCACGTTTGGCTGCTGCTAATAAGCTCAAACGGGGTATCACAGAGATGGTGACGCCAGAGGGATCAGGTGTTGATAATCCCGAAGCGGGAGTACCGCTAACAGGTCTTCGATTGGAGATGACACCAGTAGATGTACGTTTGAATTCGAGGGACGTTGAGCCTGGTGTACTATTATTATTCTGCGTTTGATTAGCGATCGTGCTTGTTTTATGAAAAGAGAGGGGAACTATGCTCACGTCGCTTTCATCGTCGCTTGTCACTTTTATCGTTATTGCTTTGGCTGCTGCATTGAATAGACTGAATCATTCAGATTTGGGAGTTAACACTGGTAAACGATCATTGGTAGACTCACTGGTCCCAGAAGGGGAAAGCTTCGTCTCTGTCTTTGCCTAGACCTGCAAGGGTTTTCTTCTGAGGGATGGCCAATGGTCTGCTGATTGCACCTTTACGCAGACCGTTGCCTTTGCCAGACCATCCATAAGACGCTAGATAAGAATGTCCGTCTAAAGGCATGGTCTGCGCATGTAATGGCTATCGTTTTCAAAGTAATGCTCAAAAATCAGTCGATCACGTGCCGATCAGAGTTGGCTCTATAAAGCCTCAGATTTCCAGGGAAACAGCGTACAACATAAAAGTACAGCTCTAACACAATAAAGTTGCCCATCAGACGAGTAAGGTAAAGTACTGTAACGTGGGTATACAGCTTGTGTCCTTCGGAAATTTAGATCAGTACAGACTAGATGTCCTCAACTTGTTCCTCCAGCCACTCCCACAATGCCTGCCCAATCTTTGGGTCTTGGGTATCCTTACGAGGTTGACCGGGTCTAGCCCAGGGAATTAGATACTGCGAAATAGTTAGTATGTTACCAAATACAAGAAAAGATAGCGGCGAATGAACCTTGCCACCGAGTTCAACGGCATTTGGTGAAGTAGCAGCATAGAGCTGCGTGAGAGCCCCTTGAGAGGCTGGGTATAAAGAGACACTCTACGCGACATCAATGGTTAGTTTAGCAAGTGAGGCAAGTTAAAAAGAAAGAAGGCTCTAACACTCATCGTCTGGATAATGGAAGGCAGATGACGCTGCAATTCACTCTGGATGGCACCAGGGTGGGTAGAAGTAGATACAATGCCTTGATCCCCATAGCGTTTGTCTAGTTCTGATGCGAAGACTACGGTACCCTGTGAAGGATGATCCACGATCAGCGTCATGCAAATCGGGCCAGAGATAATAAAACTTACGCTTTTGCTTTGTGAATACAAAAAACCACTGTAGACCTTCTTCCTTGCTGGACCATCCTTGAAGGTATTGAAGTCCAAACCGTTAAAGTGATGAACCGCGGAGGATACATTGACGACACGGGCTTTGCCATCAGGAGAATCCTTTGCGCCCGAGATAAGGGCGGGAAGTAACAATTTAGTAAAGTAGAATGGACCTTATCGGACACATGTTTAAACTGAGGGATAGTCATGGCAAAGTAATGGCATACCAAGCACATTTGTACCGAATTGAAGATCATAGCCATCCTCGGTCACCATATCGATAGGAGACATCATAACACCTCTTTTTAATGGAAAATGTTAAAGACAGGGCTGTATACAGGCAGGGGCCGAACTGACGCATTGTTTATGAGAGCGTGTAACCGCGTCTCCTTGCTATTCAGAGTGTCAGATAAATGCACGAGTTTATTAGATAATGCACTTTACCTCAAGAATTCTTCTGCTGCTGCTTTGACCGCCTTGAGGCTGCTTAGATCGAGTTTCAGAAAGACGGCCTCTTTGCCTGTCATGTTCTTCAGATCTTGTATGGCCTCTGCGGATTTCTCCTGGCTTCGTGCGGCAACGTAAACCTTCGCGTTGTGAGACAGCAAGGCCTACGCCATGCAGTACATTGTCAGCTGAGACTTATACAGTATGGGATGTAATCTTACCTTTGCAGTTTCTTTCCCGATACCGGTATTGGCTCCTGTGACAATGATAACCTTGCCAGTGAGGTCTGGTATGTCATCTACGCTGAAGTTTGATTTTGGGGGAAAGGCCTGGTTGAGCAGCGAGAAGAAAGCACCCATGGGAGCAAGAACTGTGGGTCAACGAATGGAGGGGAGATATATGGCTTATGCTTTCTTTTCCATCGTTATGAAATACTATGTCAGTCTTTGTATGCTAACCGGGGTCCGTGCGAGAGCTGCCGGTGGGTGGTGGCAGATACGAATGCGGTCGGCGCTCACTTATAATCTCGCATCCACACGCTGTTCCAATTGCGCCATTCCTCCCTTTCCACCATACCGCTGCTTTTGCGTTACCGACCGCGTTTCGAACGAGTATCACCCGCTCGTTGCATATTCGCCTTGAATCACATTCACCTTAATTTTTTTTCTTTTGCTTTCATCGACGACAACGATTTTTGTAAATCACGATGGCCGATGGTTTTGGTCTCGCTGTCTCAACACAGGCCTCTAGTAGCAATGATATCCAAGGCCATCTACCAAGTGATGTTGCTATGCAGTCTCCTCAACCAGCGGCTGAGTCTGGCGGTTCGACAGATGATCCTGCCTCTTCGCTGCGGGCTGCAGCACTTCTATCAAGAAAGCGCCGAAAAGTTGCCACCGAACGAGTCCCAGGTCTACCTACTCGACCAGTTCCTGAGGCCTCTTTTCAACTGGATTATGGACAAGAAGAGCCTTCATCTACTCTAGAGTCTTCGCCTGCAGTCACGACTGTGCCGGATAAACGCCCAAGCAAATCAACAACACCGGTTCTCCCTGCTGCCTCTGACGTTGAAGATGGACAAATACGAGAGGAGGGCGAAATTAGCGACAATGAAGAAACCTCACCACCGTCGCCACCACCACCACACAGGGCTACCACTTCCAGAAAAAATGTGCTTCAAATCCAACCATCAACACAAGACCCTAACCCTCCCAGTCCACCCCTTTGGTCAGTGCACTTTAAACCTCTACTTTG